AAGTAGCAACATCTAAAATGGAAGGCTGTTGCAAATTGCCAGGGTGGCTGGGATAGTCTGGGAGTTGTAGAACCAGAAAGTAACATTTCCAAACTCACAACACAACTGGAGCAAAATTATTTGTGGAACCAGAGGGAGGTGGTTATTGTTCATCCATCTAGAAGCAAAGGACCTTTTAATCAATTGTGAGTGAGGAAAGCAGAGAGGGCCATGTGAGCTTTTTTTGAGCAGGGCATTGCAGAGGTATGGTTGCTGCTTACCACAGCCCTTTGTAATTTCAAGGATGCTGGGTGGAACTGATCCACTGTTTGAATCTGGAGTTTTGTCATATGGCCAAATAACACATTTGCAGAAGTGGAATAATGTATGCCTCTTCCTTTGCTCTGAACGGAAGCCAAGTCTAGACTGAACCCTTCCTCCCTCATGCAGTTTGCTTTGTAAACAACGTCCCATTTATTCAAAGGTTTCTTTTGCTGTGTTGCTGCCCTAGCATCTAGAGAGATGTCCAGTGAAATCTAAGTTTCCTGTGGCTTGACTTGTTGGGCTAATATAAAGCTGGTGGCAGCACACCCAATTTGCAGGGTTGGTTTTGGTTTTAGCATGCCTCTCAAAAGCCAGCGCCTGCTGGTTGGGTTTGCACAGAAACTTGCCCTGGGGTGGGTGTTACTTTCCATGCGTGCCACAGCACCACTGTAGCCACTCTCATGCTTCGAAATGCAGACCATACACAATTCATGTGAAAGTCAGGAGGAGATTTGCAGAATGGGTCCCCAGTGTTCCCCTCCCCTGCTAGAATTAGGCCAGTAGTGTCTGGAAATAGCCTGGGAAGGTTTCAAACCATGAAAGGATTGTGACTTTGATAATGTTTTATATTTTCCTATTAAGCAACATCAAACCAACCTAATCCTTTCGCAAATGTTAAGGCTTGACAAAATCTTTTCCTTAGCACTGTATCCCTGGGCTACCAGATGCCACAGCTAACAAGCGCAGCAGTCAACAGAAATAAAACAGCAGAGAGCTCTTTCTCCGCTACAGCGTGGCCTTCTTAAGGTTGAGCTATATTTTATCCTTCAGAATTCAAAGTTTTGCTTTAAAATTCTGCATATCACAGCCATACTAAATATCCCCTCAGACAAGGCACAAAGCTGCTGAGTAAGATCCCTGCAAATCAGGGAGGCTTTTTCATAAGGCCAACATGCATAATTTACATCTGCATACAATTAGCCTGTTTACATTTATACATTTTCTGCTTCCTTTTATGTGAAGTATTCCACAAGTAACTTGGTAATGCATTCAGAGAAAAACACTTTCTTTTTTAAAATAAAAGCTGCAGGACCAAACAATTTATAAAACCTAACACCTAATAAATACTTTATGAGAGAAGGGTGGGAGAAAAAGGTGAGTTTTCTTAACACAGTAGCGGTGTATTTACATTACAGAAGGTTTTGTTCTTCTACTTTTGGAATTGCATTTAGCTGGAAGGTCACAGTCTCTATAAAATGAGCTTGTATTCTATTATTAATTTGCGTGGGTGAATGCATTTAATTCTGACCTGACAATTTTTACTGGTTTGTATGGACTACTTTTCCTTGCAAGGAGATGCGACAGACTTGACCTGTTGAGTTTCTGTCTGCTGTGAAAGGTTAACAAAAGAGATAAAAAACAAAACAAAACCCTTTTGACTTATGAACATGAGACATTATGCCTAAGTATCCATAATTCAAAATGCCAGGAAATAGCTTGATATTGCACAATATTGTGCCCCTGTTGTGAGCAAGAAAAAGGATGCCAACATTACAGTATACAGCAAAGCCCAGCCTGAATATTGACAACACCAATGGCATGTGAAGATGGCTTATCCTCTTGTGCTCAGTACTAGTAGAGAGGGGCATGAACTGACACAATGGCGGTTTATGATGGTTTGCGGTTCACTGGTGTCCCTTAACCATGGTGAATTTTTTTAAACGAACTGGTTTGTGGTTTGTTCAGTTTGGGCCCATCTCTAAATGAAGAGGGGACTTTCTATGTAGCTCTAGATGGGGAAAATGAAACAAAATGAAACAACAATGATGAAAAGGTTCAGCATTTTGTTTTACTTCATGAAAGCACGGTTTCCTGTTCTGACTATGAAACGATTATTTTGGTTCATGGCTTCCTTTGTGCCCATCTCTACTCAGTACCATTCACACTTGTTGGAAAATAGCCCTGACAATTGCTTTGGGTGAGGAGAGGTTAACTGACAAAAAAAGGAGTCAATTTCTGGGATTTTCCCTTGCTTGGTGGCACTTTGTGAAATGGTCTTTTTTAGTTTGTATGAGCTATTTTAAATATGGGGACCTTTAGAGTTACTTGTTTCTGCATGGGATGTAAACAGTTTTACTTTTAAAAAATCATAGCTTGAGAACTCTTTGCCCGAACTTCATCAGATTTGGCCGAGAGCAAAAGCAGACTGCTATATCTGTGCCAAATTTTGTGCTGATCTGAAGTCTAGTTTCAAAGTTTGGGAAATTTTCATAATTGAGTTGTAGAATGTGTAGAATTGTGATATGCTGCACAATAGCATTGCTGCACTACCATGCAGTTATAATAAAGCAGGGATTAGGATGTTAAACACTTCAACAAACAAATATTATAAATGAATGGCAAAAAGAAAATGCTACTACAAACCACTATGTTAGTAAGGGAGATTGTAGAAGTGGTTTTTTTTGTTTTTTTGCAATTTTCTCACCATTGACTGTATGTCAAGATGAATGATCAGCTGCACAACAGAGTTCTTGCCCAGGACATGTCTAAGCACACTACAGAAATGGAAGTCGCCATTGGTTTTTTGAAACAATTGCATTGGCTTTATTCTGGATTGCTCTCGGGCTTTTCCTTTGGATCTCCAGTAGGGTTCTATTTGCTAGACCTCTGCATTCCTTTCCCCCCAATTCTGGGCTCCTCCGGCCAGGTTTGTTTTCTGCCTCTGCTTTCCACAACGTTACCTTTGAGACTAGCCTGCCTTAGAGCAAGGCAACATGATGACTGACATGAAGAGAAAAAAATGGCCAGGAAGCCATGCTACTGATTCTTGTGCACCAGATTTTCACCATCTTTTTCAAGTGTGGCATGTTTGAGTTATGAGGCAAAATAAAAATAAATGTCCCTTAGACCAGTGGTTCTTAACCTTTGTTACTCAGATGCTTTTGAACTGCAACTCCCAGAAACCCCAGTCAGCACAGTTGGTGGTGAAGGCTTCTGGGAGTTGCAGTCCAAAACTCCTGAGTAACCCAAGGTTAAGAACCAGTGCCTTAGACCTCTCGGGATCACCTTCCTCTGCTCTAGTGTTATTGCTGATAGAATTCACATGCTGAAGTTTAAATAAATCACGGAGACTCTACATTGTCTGCCTGTCATGCAGAGTCTATTTTGCAACTGATGTTGAAGAGTTCTCTTGTGACATCACAAAGATCTCTCTTACCGACAGTGCAAATGTCTGGCCTCAGGTCTCCGGGTTTGGGCCAACTCTTAGGGAGTGGGGCTGCTGCTGCCCTGGCAATCCTTTATACCACAGTGGGAACAGCAGGCTGGACTAGATAAGCCTTTGGTTTGATCTAGCAGTGCTCTTCTTACATCAAAGAGCACATTTGTGTCTTCCAAAAATCCCTCACATCTGAATAAGAAATACAGTTTTTGAAGGATTTGGAATTCATGAGCATATCTGTGGGAGAGCAGGAAGTGCCATCCTCTACGGTTACTTAAGTACTGGTGATTAAAGGAAGTTTTAGAACGAAGGTTAAAAACAACAACTTAAACCTTAAAAGGAGAATGTACGTACATGCTAGAGGATGATTATAACTTATTTTATACTGTTTCTGGGAAATTCAAACAATTAAATTGTTTCCAATTATACTGTCAGATACTGTGTGGAATGCATTTAGAGAAAACTCCCTTGAATTACAGTAAGAATGTTACAGAAATTATCCTGAGAGAAAATTGCACTGAATGCAGCTCCATAGATTTCCTGTAATCACCTAGGAGTGAATTTGGTTCCCTGCTTTCATTATATAACCTGCTCCTACCTATAACATAGATATAGCTACACAATCAAAATTTGTATGGCACAAGCTGGACCAATATATTCCTTGCTTTTTTTGTGGTTGATTTTAATGTTACAGTGGTGCCTCGACTTATGAACTTAATTGGTTCCAGAACTCCGGTCATAACTTGAAATGGTTGCACATCCAAGCACCATTTCCCATAGGAATACATTGAAATGCAATTAATCCATTCCGGCTGAAGACAACCCCCCCCCCAAATCCACTGCAATACCCATCGGAAATGCAATTAATCTATTCCGGCCGAAGAGAGGTGGGGGAGAAAAGCAAACAAATCTTGCAGGACCCTTCAGAAATGCAAAAAAAGTAAAGCAAAAAGCAAACAAACCATGCAAGACCCATCATAAATGGGGAAAAAGCAAAGCAGAAAGCAAACAAACCATGCAAGACCCATTGGAAATGTGGAAAAAGCAAAGCAGAAAGCAGGCAAACCCCACAAGACCCATCGGAAATGGGGGGGGAAGAAACCAAAAAGCAAACAAGCCCTGCAATACCCATCAGAAATGGGAACAAAGCAAAGCAGAAAGCAAACAAACCATGAAAGGCCCTTTGGAAATGCAAAAAAAGCAAAGCATAAAACAAACAAATGCTGTAAGACCCTTTGGAAAACCAAAAAAAGCAAAACAGAAAGCAAACAAACCCCAGAAGACCCATCAGGAATGGGGGGAAACCTCAAAAAAGCAAACAGCCCCCCACAAGACCCATAGGAAATGGGAAAAACAAACCAAAAAACAAACAAACCCTGCAAGACCCTTTACAACATAGAAACATAATCCCACCACCCAGCCCTAAACCAAACTGAAAAACTCACACAGAAGAGATTTAAAAAGTAGAAAGCAGTACCTTACCTCACCAGGCAGTCTGAAACCTCCTCCGATCACACACCCTCTAACTGCTGGGGCAAAAGAACTACAAAGAAGCAGCCTCTTCACCACCAACGGTTAGTAATTTGAATTCCCAGACTTTTTTCCCTGCCTTTTTCTGGTTGTAACTCGAAGCTCCGGCCAGAACTGGTTGTAACTCAAAATGGTCATATGTCGGGACATTCGTAAGATATTGGCATACATTCCTTTTTCTGCAAAGGAATGAATGCCAATATCTCAATAATAGTAATGGTGTAATTTACTTTTCACATTAACGTTGCAGTTGTGTGATTATATTGTGTATCAATATACTGAAACTAATTTGCTTTCCATAAATACTTGGAAAAACCCAAAAGTAGAGCACAACAGGCAAGGACTCAGGCAGAAGCTCAATAGCAGAGCTTGGAAGCAGCTTGTTACCTGCTATTCCATTTTCTCATAATCAAAATATAACTGCAATTCCTAGCATACCAGGCATAGCTGCAGACAAAAACTTCATGGCATAGATTGGAAGCATCTGATTAAAACAACTTCACACATGTCATTATTTCCATTTTCCTAATACCAAAATGTAACTACATTAATTTACAACATGTAGCCTAATAAGTGAAAATGTCACTTCTTGTGTCTTCAGGGGCAAAATCAGAGGACTAGCCCTAAAGCAGCATTCTACACAAGATGAGTTTTTAGAGAACATCTGAAAGGAGTCTAGTATTCATGTGAACACAGAGAGCAGTCCTTTACACACTGACTTGGAATTAAACTCCACTGCATTGAATCAAAATCTTCTAATTGCATTTTCAAATTGTGCAATTCTAAAACAACACATTATTTATCAGAATGCATAGATAGTTTCTACGTAGTGCCCATGGTATATTATGGTTTGGAGAGGAAATATGAGTTTAACGTGCGAATGAGTCAATGTCTAAATAAAGGATCATGCTTTTTAGAGTGTAGTACTGTACATAGAATTCCAAAGTTCTACAGAGTTCAGAACGAAAATAAATGAGAGGTAGTAATTGTTATTGTATTATTTAGTCAATAGATATATCTAATCAGTATATACTATGTTGTATGTGCATGTGTCAAAATTTTTAATTTTTTAAATTACAATTTTGATATAGAAACTCAGTAGAGAATATAGGCTTTCTGCTATTTTCATATATATATGAAGCCTCCAGATATAAAATATTTGTTCTGTATTATAGTGGAGACAGCCTTCATCATCTCTGCATTTTTTAACCTTCTCTAATTGTTCTCTTTTACAGAGTGTTATTGAAATATACATGAATGTATACGTAACTCATAATGACTTGCCATCTGCTCATATATATTCAAACTGAAGCACAGCTACCAAATCCCAACACACACAGGTAGGTAAAGTTCACCAAATGCCAGTGCAGAGGACAAGCTGATAATGCAATAATTCATTTCTTGCTGAGGAGAAGGAAATTACAGTGTCATATTAAAGAATAAACACGGTATCATTTTTTTCTTGAACAATATAAAACAATCCTGCTCCTACAGCACAGTCCTATACATCTTTACCCACAAGTAAACCCCACTAAGTTCAGTGAAGCCACTCCACATAAGTGAGGGTGGGGCTGTTTTACTTTGTGTTCACTGAGAAGTCTGTCAATATAGTTTATTTTTTAAAAACTGTTACTCGTTTTATTTTATTTTATCCAGTTTCTATATTACTGTACCTGATTTTAGCAGTTTAAAATCACAGCAGATTTTCTCCTTATGAAGGTTTGGACCAGAAGCTCCAGCGCAGGAAGACACCAGGAATAAGTGCAGAGAATATTTACTTGCTGTACATGTTTACATAGTGCTCACACAAATATAAACATAGGCATTCAGCAGTCAAATAGACAGAACATAAGCATGATAGTCAAAATAGAAGTGTGAAGGGCACGCTAACCAGTCTCTTAGAGTGGTCAAAATGACTAGATAGGCGGGGTATAAATACAATCAATCAATCAATCAATCAATCAATCAATAAATAAATAAATAAATAAATAAATACTACCTCCAACCAATCAAATTAGGGGTTCACCTCATGGTAGACAATTCCAAAAGGCTGTGTCCTTCTTGTCACGTAGGCAGTGACTAAACTCCACCTGCACTAACCAATTGTTAATTACATTTCTTCTTCTTAAATACCTAACACCTGACTTAGGAAAAGATCACTACTTTGGGCAGTTTAAATAAAAACAGAAATAAAGAATATCAGCCCCTCCAAATCTCCAACCCTTATCCCACAAAAAATTAGATCAAAATAAAACCCAATCCAGATTGACAAACCAAATAGCAACATGTAACCATAACACAAAATAATGCGCGACCTATCTGGAACTGGTTCAGGTGACAGGCCTCCCCCTAGTTTTTCCCCTGACCAGTTTG